AAATATAATATATTCTGTTTTACCACAAAAACGGCAGTTATAGCTATTATTCTGATATCTGAGCTTGTCTTTAGACCACGTGACCTCCATTGATGGCTATACTCTGCTATAATCTCTTAAGAGATTTTAACAAAAAACCAAACTGTTTAGAAAAAAAGCAGGGACTAACTTTGAATGTAAAAATGGATTCATTAACCATTGGTAAGTATGGGAAAATTGTTGTTTACTCCAGGAAAATTCATTTTTTGGCCGAAACGAAGAGTTATTATCACTTTAATATGCCTTCATAGGAAAATTATGCCACAGATTAATATTGAAAACTGTAATTTAAATATTTTGAGAATGTTTTTTTCTTTCAGAGCATTCAGAATATAACATATCAAGTCGTAGATTGCACAATTATGTTTTACTGCAGGGATATATATAAATTTATATATTATATAAGTAGGGAAAACCTATCACTTAGTTCATGTAGAACATAATATCCAGCTAGGATCTATATAGTATGCATCACCTGGATGTCATGTAAAACAGATTCTAGACTACTGTATCAGGAACTTATGAGAACAGGTTTAGGTTGATATCTTATGCATTCAAATGTAGTCTTACTACACAACACTGCAAATCACCAAACAAGCACAAAGTGATGCTCGCACAATTGGAAGCTAGGAGATTTACCGATTAATAATTTTTTTCTGGATAACTCAGTATTTGGGTTGTTGCAAGAATATGTTAGTCCAGTGAGTTTTAAAATATGAGCTTTACAGAATATTTCATATCACTTTTGTGGATTAATCTGAGCTGTTAAAAAGTGGGAGTCAGTCATGCATAACTGATTACCTTATAATCTCACCATCAATCATTTTGATTAACTGATCAGTTAATGTGGACATTATTTGGGTAGGAAAAAATGAAAGTGGCCATAACTGACCAAATATTAATAAACAGTATTGTGTTTGTCATTAATGCTTTAAAAGAATCTCTTATTACTCAGGATGGAGGACACACGAAATATAAATGTTGATATTTTACCAGTTTGCCATTTTATTTTTGGTATAAAAGGTTAGCTGGAAATGTGGTAATTCATTTTTCATACCCCATTCATTATTTTGAAGCTTAACTTACAAAACTTGTATAACTCCAACTTGATTTTTTTGGTAAAATAAGTAAAAAGGTGTATTTTCATTGTGTGATTTTATCTGTCACTGGAATGCGATGAGAAGCAATCATTTTTTTTTTTTTTTTAGCAATCAATTTTCATTACAAAACAGATTTGAAGTTGGCGTGTTCTTTTCAATTTGTTCAATACACCATGGAATTTTGTAATGTCTATTTAAAAATCTGAAATAATACTGAAGTACTAGTATGTAGACTTTGTATTGCTTCTTTTATTTTAAGCAACCAAGAATAAGAGATAATTTCACATAAAGCATAGAAGGTAAAACTGAACTTTATTTTGAAACTAACTTTTCTTACCAACACAACAAGAATACAAGAAATAAAATCATAAACATTAACATTTCACAGAAACTTCTAAGCTATCAAAACAATATGCTACAAACTGACTGGTTAAAATTTGACAAAGATTTAACCAAAATCGTAAGATCTGGCAAAATACTAATTATCCAATGAAGAAAGATATTTTTGAAATTATTGTTGATCAAAGTAACCAAGATTGCCACTTTAGTGTTTACACCAGATGTTTTAAGTAATCAAATTTAGATGAACTATATTGTGTAGCTGCAAATAATATAAAATACTTTTTATGGAGAATTTTCAGTAATTTGGTCAAATATTTGGATCGAAGGTTTACTTTATTTTCAATTTAACTGTTCTTCAAAATATGAATAAAATATAATAGTTGTCACTTAACATATACATGTGACTGTTCATCCTCAAAACTGAAAAGTGTAAACTTTTGTGAATTTTTTCACATTTCTAAACGGAATCTTAAAAGTTTTTCTTTGGAACATGGTCTCAATCAGCATAACATAATACAATGTGTATATACATGTAGTAAACGTGAAAGAACTTAATAAAAAACTAATTCTGCCTGCTGCGTTTCCCTTTCATTTTTCTCTTATTTTTCTTCATCTGTCTCTGATCACCTGGCCCTTCCGCCACTGTCAGGAGATGGCCCACCTGGTTCTCATCTTCATCATGTGCAATGACTATCTCTTCATCCATAGCTTCAGCTGCTTTCTCCTGAGCTACAGCCTAAAAGATAAAAATGTAAATGATGTTTAAATGATGTTAATTTTTTTTTTGTAAATAATACCATAATTACAAATCCAAAACAGTCATGTCCATTATCTGAGTTTAAGCCAAACATTTTTTTCCAGTGAGTCTTATATGTATCATAATTAATTTCAAATTATTTTAAATTGTCTTTAGAACTGAAAGGGCTGTATTAAACTGATAAAGTGGAACCCTTACTATTCTGTGTTTCTCGACCTCTGCCTCCCTCTGCCACTCTTTAAAAATGGGCATTCCTGCTCTCAACTGTTTTGCTACCTCTTCTGCTTGGTGAATAACTTCTCGAGTACTTCCCCATGTCTTTTGTTGAACCACATTGTTCACAGTATTCTTCAGATGCATGATTGAAATTGCAAGTCCATGCAGCTTGAAAAGAAGAGCTTCTGCATTATGTTCATCTTCGCAGGGCAACTGTTGCTCAAAATCCTCACATTTCTGCAATAGAGGTAATACTTGTTTCACATATACTGTGTGGAATATTCCAAAATACTGCATTTTCTCAAAATGGTCCCTGGTTTTCTCATGACTGTTTCTCTGCTTGGCTTGCTCTTCCATTGGGCTGAAGATGTGGGTGGGCTGTGCACTACCTGACAGGTGCCCTGCCTCATCCAGTGAGGCAAACTGGGTGTCTGTACTTTTAGTAGGTTCCCATGATAACTGACTCTGATACAGATATGGTTGGGGTGAAACATTGGGCATGGGTGAACTTGCAGTATCATCAGTTGGGATGGGAGAAACTGATCTCATCTGCTGTGATGCTTGGTTTTCTTCTTTTTCTTCTTCCCAATCTTGAGTTGTAGGGGCACTTGAGAAGTAAACTCCACAATATCCGCACATGGTGTTATCAATAGTGATGTGTTGTATGAGATTTGGAAGGCGATTGTCTTTGGTCGATGCAGATGCTGCCTGACTTGGTACTTGTCTCAGTTGATTGAACTTCCTGCACGCTCGAATTACCAAAAGACAAACAACAAGCTTCTTTTCCATCTCAAGTCTTTTGGCTGACTTTTCTGCATCTAAGATCTCTTGCTCATCGAATTCCTCCGTCTCTTCCCCATAGATTTCTACTTCCTTTCCTGTATCTGAGTAGCTGTTTGCTGTGGCTTGAACATCTGTGAGAGGCATGTTATATGTGGGAAAGAAAGATGCAGGTCTAACTGGATGATTGACCAATCCCTTTGCAGTGCTGGACTTTTTACCAATTGCACCCCACACGCATTGATACAGACACTGGTCTCTATGACGTAGCGCTTCTTGCAGTACTTCTACAATACCCTGAAGCCCATTTGCCTCTTTTGCTGCCTTAACCCTCAAGTAAAGCCTCTGTGGCAAAATTTCTCTGTCAAGTCTGATGGAGTTCAAGGATCTGCGGATCAGGACTTCACAATCAGGAGGCAAGGCTTGGTTGGTGTTGCATAAGAGAGTAAGTATCAAAACTAGGGTCCGTTCTGTCTCCCCACTCCTGATGTATGCAACAGATGAGAAAGCATCTTCAATCACATTGAACTTTGGGTTGTGATTACCACAGAGTATCTTCACCATGGTAACCATCATCCTAGCAACGACGGGGTACCACTCCCTAGGCCAAGTGCAGTGTGTCAGGCTCATCCACATGGCATACTCTCCATCCCTGATGAAGTCATAGAGAGACAGCTGAGCCAGGTACCCTGACGGCAAGCACAGGACAACGCCAGGGGTAGTTTTAGCTACCATGCTGAGGAATAAGGTAGTGGCCAGCTCCATCATCCAAACCTAGCAAATATAAATATCAATTTATAAGTGAAAAATTTACAGAATATTTTGAAGTACATTTGAATTACAAAGTTACAAATCCATTTAGGACCTTTAACGGAAAAGGTATGACCAAATAAGATTATCATAATTAAAATAATATTATTTAAAGTCATGGTTAAGTCACAGGTTTATTGTAAAGGTAATTCAGAAATATACAAAACATATCAATCTTATAACTGGCTAAACTAAATCATTACATCTGCATACAGAGAAAACATGAACAAAATTGATATATCATCAAACCTACGGTATTGGCAATAGAAGGCATCAGTGGCTCTGTAGCACGGTCTGCAAGTTTCCTGATGAAGTTCAGCACCAGTGCTCTCATGGCAGTTATGGGGTCCAGTTTGCTATGGAGCTCTTTGGAGAAATCGATAAACCTGCTCATCAAACTGATGAACATGTGTCTGTTCCCCCTTTCTCCTACATAGACCATACCAATGTCCTTTGGCACTTTATGTGGGGCAACCTTCTTACTAGCTTCTGCTGAGTAGCCATCAGCAGTCTTTGTAAGCATTCCTTTCAAGACTTCAATTTTGACCTTAAGCAGGCGCTGTACATTGAAGATCAACAGGAACAAATCTGTGTTGGACAACTGATCTTGAGGACACTTTGTCCACTCATACTTGGCCCATCTCTTTAACTGATCTTCTACAGCCAAGCTTCTAATCCTATTCATCACTTCCCTAGCTTCAACAGGAAGAGAGCAGAGATTCCTGTGGTGACCCTGAGCAGGAAAGAGCAATTTGTACAAAGCCAGGCAAGAGCCAAACCTTCCACCAAGCTCTTTTCTGGGCCTCAGATCTTCAAGCTGCCTTTTGATGGTGTCCTTGTGAGGCTGCTCACATGCCCATTCTACTGTAGAATCTAAATGAATGAGTCTGAGGATGCTATCCAAGTGGTGCAGCAGATGATTCCTTTTAGGTTCTTGCCTCAGTTTAGAACATGATCCAAGTTCTTGACATGGCTGCCCAGCAATGAAGTCAGGGCAGATCTCTTGCTTTTTCATGTGGCTCCACATCATAGCACGGCACTTGTTTATACCATTGCCAACTTTCTTAAGAAGATCTTGGCACATTTTCTCATGGACCAAATTCTTTGGCACTTGATCTTTATCCAAATCTTCAGTAAGCAGGAGGTCAATCCTGGCAGCTTCACTGGTCTTTACTTTCCTAACTTGTTCCCTATCCCCCTTTTCTATGCCATAGTACAGCTCACAGACGTCAAGCATGGCCCTTTCAGTTTGAGTGTGCTTTACTGGACTTTTCGGTACAATGAGGAGGAAGTTGGCAACACTTTCTACAGCATCCCGTACTGGCAAAACGTGTATGGGTAACAGCTCTGGAACTATCTCCATTAGCACCTCAACCACCTCCACTTGTCCACCAATATTGTGATTTTTCTTGAAAAGATCAGAAGAGATTTTCAGGAGCTTAATATCTTTTCTCAACTTGGCAAGATACAGCTGAGCTTCTGCCTGCCCATTGCTATCTTCACAAGCAGAGAAGAGCTTTTCAGCTTCTTCTAAATTCTTCAGGATGTTTTGCTTTATTGTAGGACTGGACATATTCTGCAGCTTCATCCTGCTGCTTATCATGAGACACTCTGCTCTGAAATGTGGATCATCCAAGCGCTCGGCATACTCCAGGGCCTCTTCAACTTTGCCCTTTGACTTCAGAAACTTTGCAGCTTCCATGGACTGACCTAAAATTTTTCATCAGTTCAGAATCATATGTAAACAAAAAGTTTTTTCACAATTACCAAGCCTACCCAAGTCTACCCAATATCCAGCAGTAATGTGGTACCATTTTTGAATTTTTTCTGGTAAGCATGGCAAGTAAATTTTGACATTGTAACCTACTAGAAATGCAGCTTACTTGTGAATATAATTTCTAACCCTATTTAAATACTCACCATTTCTTTTATACAAAGCAGCAACACCAGCTATGTTGTTTCTTTCTTTGAGAAACTGAAGTTGTCGTTCAAAGGGAAGGCGTGATAGGGCTGCATTCATGGCATCATACTCTCTGCGATGAAAATGCAATTTTGCAGCTTCAAAGCAAAGATAGTCCATGCTATGAAGAGGACTTGGGGCTCCATTTATTAAAGCCTGTGGCAGCATCTTTCCATGAGACACGTATTCCTACAGAAAAAAATAAGAAAATCTATTAAGTCTCTCCATCTCTCTCACTGTATATTCATAAACACACCCATGCATGCAAGGCATCTACACACATTCTTCTTGCATGCATGCATGCTCTTGTTAGGAATTGCATGTCAATGGCCTATCATAAAACTGCATACTGTGTCATCTCCTCACCTGTGCTTTAATGTCATATCTTTCACGGACATCTGCTGCTTTCTGGAACTGATCCACTGACACATGTATCTCAATGGCTTTCCTGAAGTCAGAGGATTGCTCATAGCAATTGGCAGCATCCTGGTAATACTTGACTTTTTTGTAAAGGACAGCTGCATCCCTGAACTAGAAAATAATTGGACCGAGTCACATTAAAATCACTTCAAAAGAATCACAAATTTAAAACTAAAATGTTAAAAGCAATCAAGTGTGTTTCATTGTTATGCTTAAAAAGTATTTATAATTAATGTATCAATTTTCTAAAGCATTAAAGAGCATGCCTATTTATAAACACACTTTTTTTGAAAATGAAACAATCCACAGATCATTAAAAGGCAAAACTACACTACTTAAAGAGATTTGCATAGCATTTTCATATAAGTAGTTCATTGTGTTTTGCAAAACTGATGCACACCTTTGCCATCTTCTCAAACAGTCTGGCTGCCAACAGGAACTCCTTTGCATTGTACAGACACTTGGCTGCCTCAGATGGCATACTACACTGCAAGAACTCCTCAGAAGCCAGGAGAAACTCCTGTTTTAATTTGTGTGGGTTTTCTCTCAGTCTCTCTGCACTCAGAGCTCTTGCTTGAGCCAAGGACATTCTTTCCAGGACTTCTTCACCACCTGTTATGTTTATATTCTCAGGTAAGATTTATATTATTTTCATCATAAAGCTATAAATTGGTTAATTACCATCAATAGAAGCTGAGTGCATAAAAATGAATAAATGTTCAATACAGTCTGGATAGGCAAGTCTGATAAAAAAGTTTGCAATAAACTAAATATGTTGTCTAAATATCTGTTCATTAGGTCATTACATAAGTATAAGCAATATCCCAAAAGGACAACACTCTACAAGGTGTCTTAATTTGCATTTTCATGCTAAAGATATATATCCTACCTCTTCTGTAACATTTAGCAGCTACTTGGTACAACTTGTGATTATAGAAATAATCACCTCTCTTCACCCACTCCTCTGCTGTAGAAGTACATGCAAACATTGCAGATGACAGACCTGTTAGAAATAAAGGTTTACATGAACAATATTGGTAAGTAATTAGAAATAAAGTCATGTCACACTTAATCTATTTGATTTTTTTCTAAAAATTAACTAATACTCAAATCCAAGACAAATTTTAATTTATTTAATTTTAATTTATTTTTAATTTATTAAAATATTTAGAGTTTCGCCATGATCATGCAATTATATGACTAAACAGACAATAAAATTGGTTTCCAGACTAGAAAAATATAACTGAACATAATCTGGTTACCCTTTCTGGCAAACACAAAGGATGGCTCAATTAAAAATACTATCCTGCTCCCTGTCCCCACACCATTACTTCCCTGTAATAAGGTGTGTGTGTGTGTGTGTGTTATATGTGTGTGTGTGGGCATGCGAGTATGCATGCTCCAAGTATGTGCATGTATTTGAAGTGGACATTGTGAGTGGGTACAAAAAATGTAGTTCTTATGAAGGAGGAATAATACCAAATGTGATACTTGGGAGTTTTCATAAATACAAGGCATCATCAAAGCATCAGCTCACAGTCACTCCATTTCTTACCGTCATCACTGCTGTCAGATCTTGTCTCCACAACATCCATCAACTTTCTTCGAACAAAATATTCAAACATAGGTGCCCTCTTTTCCTCGTCCTGATCAAATATCCAGACATTGACCCTGGCCCGGGTCAAAGCTGTGTACAAATACTTGAGCTCAGAGTTCAATACTTTGTGTTTCTCTGGGCTAAAGTCTAATGGTCTAGGACGGACATTGTCATACTCTTCATCTGGAAAAAATTATTTAAAAGATAAGTTTAAATAAGTTTATCACTCACATAAGTTTTTTCAATGACAGTTTCCATCATGACACCCCAAATAATTTTTTTCAAAAATTCACTTTAAGTTAGTATGTTTTTAATGGTACCTCAAAGGCATGAACCATCACTTACCAATATCCAGTTCCACAAGATTATCTTGTCCTTTCTCTTGGTTGTACTTGTACTGCTCCAGCAGCTTGTCCAGGTGACCTGTCACAACTCTCCACTCTTTGTAAGCCTGCAAGAACATTGACACTTAATTGTAAATGCTGACATTTATTTCTTGAATATCAAAAAATTTAAAAGAAAATTAAAAGTAAATTACTATTCAGCTTTTGCTAAACTGATGAATTACTATGGCAGCAGTATCATGTTTCAATTTATATAAACCCCATCCCCCACAAAAAAATCCACAGCAAAACAAACTTACTGGGGAATCCTTGAAGAAATTGTATAGCAGGACATCATCAAACTCCAGGCCTTTGGATTCATAGATGGTCAGCACCAGGGCCAAACTAAGTTCCTCTGGCAAGTTGCTCTTTGCCTCCTCATTGGCAACCAAGATAACCTGGTGGGCGCCAAACTCAATCTCAGACGTCTTCCTTTTGTTTCCTCTCAGCAGTAATGCAAGGTCACTGAAACTACAGGACTGCAAAAGAACTGGTTTGGGTCCAAGGAATAAGCCCTGATCTCTCTCCAGTCTGTCAAAAGACTCTGGAAAGAACTTCACCAAGAGATCAATCACACTGGATGCCAGGTCCAGGATACCTGCATGAGATCGGTAGTTGTGGGTGAGCTGGTACACCTTCTTGGGGACAGCCACTGCTGATGTCTTGCCCACAGCTTTGAAAGACTTGCTTGCATAGTGGAATAAAGTCTTGAGATCATCAAAACGGAAGGCAACTCCTCTCATGATGCTCTGGGCTGTGTCTCCTGTGAGAAATAAAGAATTGGGGTCTTGACAACACCGTATGAAGAGGGAAAGTTCACCCTGGGTAAAGTCTTGGGTTTCATCCACATAGATTTGATGAAGGCTCCACTGCAAGACTTTAATATCTTTCAATCTGCGGTAAATATGGCTGATCACATCACATTCATCAAACAGCCCCTTGGTCAACTTGATCTGACGGTATCTCTCAAACATGTCATACACCTTGTTCCGATCTCCGGAGAAGTTGGGTGCCCTCTTCTGTCCAAGCTCTAGGTATCCCTCTCTGGACAGTTCACCCTTCTCAGTGTGCAGGGCCTCTACAGAACCCTTAATGAAAGACATAATTTCCATCCAGACTAATGTAGGGTGGTAGTCAATCTTCTCCTTGTTCACTTTGGTCCAAAGCTCACAGGCAAATACTTCATATGTTACCTCTCGCCTTGGATCAGTTTCCTTTGGCTGTGGTTGGTTGGCGACATCCTCATTTTCAGGGTCACCTGGTAAAACTGTGTCATCTTCATCATCCTCCAACTCACCATCAGAATCATCCAGATCAGGGATATAGGTCACACTTGCTTCTTTTTCTCCCCAGCCCTGAATATGCCGCTTCAGGCTGCCATCTTGGTTGCGTGGAAAAAATGAATTCAGCAAGGATCCATCAAGAAGCATCAGCCACTGTTTGGCTGTGATAAACAGTGGGAACTGAGCAGGGTGGGCTTCCTGTAGACAATTTGGCAAAGGAAGGTCTTCCACTTCAACATGAGCATTGGCAGGTTCCCATGCATGACTCAACTCCCTGAAATTTCTCTTCACTTCACTGCAAAGCACAGCATTTTTAGTAACAAACACTTGATGCAGATGTTCCATGATCGGGGCTTCCTGAGTGTTGCCAGGTTCTTGTTGGCAGTCTTCTGTGTTACATGTGGCACCTTTGCTGGCTACATCCAACTTTTCTGATTCATCAGCTGATACATCATCATCATCATCATCATCATCATCGCCATCATCACCAAAATCAGACATTTCTGATGTATCTATAAAAAACATTTTAAAAATCAAAACAAAAATGCATGTAAAAAAAATTACTTAAAATAATTCATCATGCACATGACCTGATTTTATTGAATAAATATATATCAAGAGAAACAATATCCTCCCATTAAATAGCAAAACTACTGTATTTGTATGATAACATTACGTTGATATTTTTGGAGGGTATAATATGACACATAAATACCTTTGTTATTAGCCTTATCTGCCTTTACGTCCTGGTGCACAAAGGTGACACTACGGGGAATCAAGGGCTCTCCAGCCCTGGCGGCTTGCTCCCAGTAACGTGAGAAGAAGGTCCATAGGCGATACAAGCAGCAGGTGGTTTTCCCTAAACCAAAGGAAAGTGATACAATCTATCTTTAAAACTGAATATCTTCTTGTGAAAATACATAGGGTGTTGACAGAAAGGTCACATGACCATCTAGATTAGAAAGCCTAGAAATTAAATACTGTTCAAAAATGAAATGCATAAAACCAGAGGCATTCATATATTTTTGTTATACATAATACAATTGAATGAATGAGTAAAATAACAAAAAGACTAACCTGTCCCACTCCTGCCTAGTAGAAGGATTGATTGTGGTGGTTTTGGGTTCAAGTTGATAATGGCATGCTCTAATTCTGTTACCCTGAAAGGAAAGTCTACTTTGGTGTCTTGGTTGAGAAGAACATTGTTGACCAGAGCCGACGTGAATGAATAGAATTTCATGATGTGGTACTCTGTCTCATTGGCACTTGCTGGTGGAAAGAATTTGGTCGAAGATTCTGGTTTAGGCATATGTGGCAGAGGGTTAGGTGGCTCCTTCTCCTCTGTGTCCACCTCGTGGAAATACATAGGTATTCTCTGATCAGTGAACTTGTGTGAAGGGAAGTCCTTGCGTTCCATGCCTTTGAGTTTCTTCTGAATAATACATTCCTGTCCTCTGTTGAAAGATGTTACAATGCTGTCAATTTTCCTGGAGACATTATCGTGATCAAAGACAACATCCCACACTCGGATGACTTCAGAGTAGATTCTCCCTCCAACCACCCCTTCTTTGATAGATTCCATGCCAAGTCTCTGCTCAGCGCTCTCACTGCAACGTGGAGAGAAAGCAATGGCCAGTTCCCAGAGAATACGAGCCCCTTTGGTCAGCTTGGCCTCATACAACTTCATTCCAGCATTTTTGGCAGCCCCCTCCAGTCTCTTGCAGAGATCTTGTCTCCAGTGGCCATTGCCAAGGAATTGGATTTTCTCTATGATTCTTCTTTTCATTTTGATTTCCAACTTTTTCTCCCGCAGTAGTTTCCACAGATTGGCTGTGCATTCTACCTCCCATACCAAGTCATCAAATAGGCTTGGGTCAACATCTTGAGGTTCTTCTTCGAATTTATTTTCCTGTAGATCAGTCTCAAGGTCATTTTGGATTTCATCTTCTTCAATTACTGCTGTTTTTCCTACACCAGAGTTTTCATTGTAAACACCTTGTTCAACTTTTGCTTGTCCATCTTTAACAGAGGCTGCACTGGACAAAAGCATACTTGCAGAATCATCTTTCCATCTTTTGGGTTCCATTTGTGGCAAGTCTGAAATGAGAGAAGATATTCTCTTCCTTGTGTCTTCTTTATTCATCTTTGGAACAATGCTAGTTGTGCCCTCTTTCTTCAACAAATGAGGTGTTATGTCTGTCTGAGCTGTATCCTGTCCGCATGTTATATCTTTCTGAGCTGTATCCAGTGCTTCATTAGCAGTAACTTCATCATCAGCAGGGAGAACAGCTGATTTCTCATTTTCCTTCTGCTTGCCTTTCTTTTTTCTTGGTGTGGGAGGAGAAAAATCTGGATAGAATTGTTTTGCCTGTTTCATATACTGCATCCTTCGGTCATTTCCCTTCTTCAACATCTGCATTGCTGTTAAACCATCCCTGTTTCTCACCAGTGGGTTGACCTTGTTTTGAAGCAGAATCCTGGCAGCATTCACAGCATGGGGAGAGCAGGTGCCCTTTGCTATCACATGGAACAAGGTGTTTCCAGTGCCATCTACAGAGGAAGGCTCTAGCATTGGATACTTCTCTGGACATGTTGAGTAAAGTTTAAACAACTGTTCCAGCAAGGAGAAATCACCTAAAATGATAATGTGTACTTTTTTTTTGCCATGTGTACTTTTACCCACAGCGAAGGTCCAGTTTATGTTTATATACAGGTTGTCAACATGCTGGGGAAATGAAACAAAGCATGTCGTTTAACTAATCTGGCATGCTTGTGAACATTGTAAAATAGAACTATTAAAAGCTTAACCATGCAATTTCAACTGGGTTTTAAATTGGTTTTAGTTACAACTCTAGACATTCTATAAATAATTATTTTGAGGCAGCTGTNGTTCAAGTTGATAATGGCATGCTCTAATTCTGTTACCCTGAAAGGAAAGTCTACTTTGGTGTCTTGGTTGAGAAGAACATTGTTGACCAGAGCCGACGTGAATGAATAGAATTTCATGATGTGGTACTCTGTCTCATTGGCACTTGCTGGTGGAAAGAATTTGGTCGAAGATTCTGGTTTAGGCATATGTGGCAGAGGGTTAGGTGGCTCCTTCTCCTCTGTGTCCACCTCGTGGAAATACATAGGTATTCTCTGATCAGTGAACTTGTGTGAAGGGAAGTCCTTGCGTTCCATGCCTTTGAGTTTCTTCTGAATAATACATTCCTGTCCTCTGTTGAAAGATGTTACAATGCTGTCAATTTTCCTGGAGACATTATCGTGATCAAAGACAACATCCCACACTCGGATGACTTCAGAGTAGATTCTCCCTCCAACCACCCCTTCTTTGATAGATTCCATGCCAAGTCTCTGCTCAGCACTCTCACTGCAACGTGGAGAGAAAGCAATGGCCAGTTCCCAGAGAATACGAGCCCCTTTGGTCAGCTTGGCCTCATACAACTTCATTCCAGCATTTTTGGCAGCCCCCTCCAGTCTCTTGCAGAGATCTTGTCTCCAGTGGCCATTGCCAAGGAATTGGATTTTCTCTATGATTCTTCTTTTCATTTTGATTTCCAACTTTTTCTCCCGCAGTAGTTTCCACAGATTGGCTGTGCATTCTACCTCCCATACCAAGTCATCAAATAGGCTTGGGTCAACATCTTGAGGTTCTTCTTCGAATTTATTTTCCTGTAGATCAGTCTCAAGGTCATTTTGGATTTCATCTTCTTCAATTACTGCTGTTTTTCCTACACCAGAGTTTTCATTGTAAACACCTTGTTCAACTTTTGCTTGTCCATCTTTAACAGAGGCTGCACTGGACAAAAGCATACTTGCAGAATCATCTTTCCATCTTTTGGGTTCCATTTGTGGCAAGTCTGAAATGAGAGAAGATATTCTCTTCCTTGTGTCTTCTTTATTCATCTTTGGAACAATGCTAGTTGTGCCCTCTTTCTTCAACAAATGAGGTGTTATGTCTGTCTGAGCTGTATCCTGTCCGCATGTTATATCTTTTTGAGCTGTATCCAGTGCTTCATTAGCAGTAACTTCATCATCAGCAGGGAGAACAGCTGATTTCTCATTTTCCTTCTGCTTGCCTTTCTTTTTTCTTGGTGTGGGAGGAGAAAAATCTGGATAGAATTGTTTTGCCTGTTTCATATACTGCATCCTTCGGTCATTTCCCTTCTTCAACATCTGCATTGCTGTTAAACCATCCCTGTTTCTCACCAGTGGGTTGACCTTGTTTTGAAGCAGAATCCTGGCAGCATTCACAGCATGGGGAGAGCAGGTGCCCTTTGCTATCACATGGAACAAGGTGTTTCCAGTGCCATCTACAGAGGAAGGCTCTAGCATTGGATACTTCTCTGGACATGTTGAGTAAAGTTTAAACAACTGTTCCAGCAAGGAGAAATCACCTAAAATGATAATGTGTACTTTTTTTTTGCCATGTGTACTTTACCCACAGCGAAGGTCCAGTTTATGTTTATATACAGGTTGTCAACATGCTGGGGAAATGAAACAAAGCATGTCGTTTAACTAATCTGGCATGCTTGTGAACATTGTAAAATAGAACTATTAAAAGCTTAACCATGCAGTTTCAACTGGGTTTTAAATTGGTTTTAGTTACAACCCTAGACATTCTATAAATAATTATTTTGAGGCAGCTGTAATATGGTAGCATTGTCTTGCATGTCAGTAAACAATATGTTAACCCAAAGAAGAAATATAAACACCTAAACCAAACAACAAGGCTGTAAAGCACAATTGCTGACAACTAGAACAAACAAATAAACTTGTACCTTTAGCTTTCATTCCAATGGAGAGAGCTACATGCAGGGGTGTGTCATTGCTGGAGAGAGAGAGGGAGGTGGGGTTTGCTCCTTCCCTGAGCAGCAGCATCACCATTTTCATGTCCTCACTCTGAAGGCTATGGCTTAATGGTTTTATTTTATCACTACCAACACCATCTGGTGAACACCCATGCTTTAAGGATAATGAAAATTGAAACATAAAAAAAGAAACATCTGTAATTTTTCATAAAATCTGTCTGTTTGGAAGGCCATTTGGCTGGCCATAAAAAGCAAAATCTCAAACAACATGATGTCAACATGCTACACATACGGATACAGAACAAAAAAGAAAGAATTTTATTACTCAAAATCAAAATTTTAAACAAACATTCAAGAAATGCATAGCAACATCAATAAACAAATGCAGAGATACGGGGGTACATGTAATCCAAGGGTACACAGGCAGCTGTATCATACAAACTGAGTGATATAGCAATACTGAAACACATGCAGACTCTAATTGAAACCCTCCTGATATAGCCATGGGGTTCAGAAAAAGATGAAGGACAATGGTGGGCCTTAAAAATCACCATGTCAGTTTAAAACATTACTTTTGTACTACATATATGGTCATTTCTTTTTGCATAGTTTTGTTGAGGTCTATTGGTGTTGCGTTTCAATTTCTTTTACATAAGTTCAAATTATAAATAAAGCAAATTCGGGCTTGAAAATTGCCTCCATAAAATGTTACGTAAGGCTGCATGCAATAAACAAAAAAATTAAAAAAAAAAAAATTAAAAAAATTAAAAAAAAAAAAAAATTAGCATACAAATGTAGAGAATTAAAAAAATTAAAAAGGTGACTGATTCATGTACCTTTCAGAATATATGTACCAGGTGTTGATAAAACAAATCCATGCTCAAACATGCATGTTGATTTAGTTCCATAAATGATAGCAAATATCACATGTAATTTTCTGACAAATTCTGAAATATTTCATTGGTTGATAATGCTACTGTACCAATATAACTGGTGCTCACAAGCAATGATCCAAAAATGATGCAGAAAAGTATTTACCTTTCAGACATGGCTCCATAGAAAAAAGGCTCATGATATTATAATCTTAAACTCTGCCACTTCCATGCTTGCATGGGAAAGTGCATGCTTTTCTACTATAATGTACAGTTAACAAGGATTTTGTGTGAGGTTTTGATCTGAATACAGTCCAATGTAACCTACCTTGAGGAGAGCAGTTACCAGATCATATTTGTGCACACTAACATCTCTTTCATCATGGCTGCTGAGGAAATGCACAATGGAGATTCCTGCAGTGCTGCAGTTGTCTGCAAGACCACCTTGACCTTTCTCATGACCATTGCCCCCTCCAAGCAGCAACTTCTGAACTGTTTGCCATCTTCCACTCCTGGCCAGCTTTTTAATGACCTGTGTCCATATCTTCTCAGGTAACTTGCAGGAGATTCTAGAGGGGATCTCTAAAAAAATAAATAAAGCCATTTGACATGCAATAGAATTCGACCACCAATTTAGACAATTAGTTTTCACAATCAAAATATAATGGGCCACACCAATCACAGCAGATGAGAGCAAAAGAAAAATTATAATAATTACAGATTATTGTTCATAATTTGCATTTAACTTAGTTACTATATATTTGACTTAAAATAATTAATCCCAACAAAATATTGCAAAATGCATAAAATCTCTCCTGGGCCCACTTACCTTTAAAAGTAGGAACAATTTTGTCTACAACAATATCTAATGCCTCTGATGCCTTAGCATTCAGTTTTGAGGCACTGCTGTTTTCCTCCAAGAACTTGCAGAGTGATCCAAGTGCTTTCTCAAACTCCAACTGGGCAAGGCACTCTTTTCCCCTTTGGAACAGGTCTACTGGCTGCTCATTATTTCCTACACGGAGAATTTAATACGAATACAGTCGGCAGCTTCTAAACAGTTTTTTTTTTCATGGAGATCAGTTTAAACAGACCAATCATATATATGTGCCATATTCTGTATTCAAGATAAAAGGCGTTGTATCATAATGTTGTTATATGTATTTCCCATTTGCATTACGTAATTAAAAACGCTTGATAACTACATGTACACGCCATCTTGGTGTCACACTGTTACATGGTACCAGAAGTGGGGAAGAATGTTAAGAATGTTTGTATTTATTCTGATCGTGTTTATGGTAAAATAAGCGAACAATGTATCTTGAAACATAAGATAGTTTATTAAGAATATTTTGTTAAAAAAAGGAAGATGTATCATAATGTTGTAATATGTATTACCCATTTGCTTTACGTAATAAAGACGCTTGATGGCTTCGCGCCATCTTGGTGTCACATTGTTACAGGTTCTTGAGGGTATCTTGCTGTTTTGGAATTTAAAATTCAAACATAATGATGTTCTTCTGCAACCAATTCTTTTAAGAATGTGGTTCAGTGCCAGTTAGTCATTTTCTAAATTTGCCTACTCTTCAGTCTGACACATATATACTCTTCACTTCAAGGCACATAATACATCATAACCACTTTTCCCTAGAGAACATACACAGTATGAAATATGGTTTATGCATTTATATACTAAAACATTACTTACCATCCCCACCTTCATCAACTTTGTGTACAACATGTATATCCTTAGGCCTGGCACCCTTGGAATATGAGTCAAGTTGTCCCCTGGGGGATTCAGGACCAAATGATTGTTGTACACCTGGCTTTTGCTTCACTTTTTTCTTGCCACCAGATGCAGGTTTACCATACTGTTGACTCTTTTTTCCTGTGGAAAAATATCATTCACTTTTCATGGCTTGAAAAAAATGATGACAAAAATTCCTAATGGAGTTCAATAATAAAAAAAGTATATTTTTTCTAACCGTCTAAAAGATTAGAGATTTGTTGGTCTTTCCTTACAATCTCTTAAAAATTTGTTCTGAGCTCTCCTGTCATTTGCTTTTTTTTCAGTTTATTATCTTTCCCAGCCTTAATCAATATCAAAACATTAAATCACTCACCATCTCCACCTCCATCAACCTTGTGAACTGCCTGTGCGTCCTTGGGCCTAGCACCCTTAAAATCAGTTTGACCAAAGTAGGGTTGAGGGGGTTGAGGTGAAGGTTTCAGCTCAGTTTTTCTGATGGTATCAGTTGCAGGTCTACCCCATTGTTCCCCTTTTCTTCCTGTATAAAAACAAGTACTACTTCACTTTTCAACATGAAGTTGTATATAAATCTATATAGAAGTGTTTACAAGTTTCATCAAACTTTCATATATATTTCTTATTTTCAGTTCTCTTACCTTTTGATGTGCTCTGCTTCATCCTCCTGTCTAGCTCACCATACAATGCACTCCCCTTTGGTATGTAGTCTATGGCAAGCTTTCCCTCTTTATTTCTAATGCTGGAATCTATCTGGAATTTCATAAAAAAAAGTCAATCAAACAGTAGTTTTTAGAAGTTATTTGTATATTCACATTGGAAATGAATGTGTCAGATGATAGAAAAAGAACTTTTTTCTCTCAGTTTAAAATTTCCTTCTGAATCAGTTTTTTTTATCATAGGTTTTTTCAAAGTACTGCTCTATAATAATTGGATTTTATTATTTCAAATTCTTTGAATACTATTTTCAAAAACGTATTTTTCTATTGCACCAGCACCAGTTCTGTGGAATGGTTATTGGTACTTGTACCGACCATGTCTAGTTTTAGTATTTGCATTCCACATTAAATTTCTTTGGTACCTGTAACAATTTTTGCCCATGAGACTAACAAGCTCACCTAACTGTCTTAAACAAATATATATAGTCTTTTTAGAAAATGGTTAATCACTGCAAATGTTCATGGGTTAAAATCAACAATTAAATAAAAATACAGGAACAAAGCCACGTACTCCTTCACGTCCAGTCCTTCATACTTTCTTAGCTCTCTGCCTTGATAATAATACAACTGTCTTAATAGTTGGCATTATTTCAAAACATATAAAAGTGATACTAACTTTTTCCATGAGTTCAAATGTGACTTCCCCAAAGAAAATTGATTGTTCCCTTGCCAGTGCTTTGGCCATTTTGTGCAGGAGAGTATCCCCACGGGCATCTTGTACTGCCTTAACCCTGTCTGGGTTAGAATTTACCAAATGCCACAAAAGGTCTGTATTTGCTAGAAAAAAATCTGGATATTTATTTACTAGTAAAAATATTTTTGAAGAATTGCCCCACTGATAAGAAATATCACCAATACTTTTTTACTTGTTCTAAATTAATCAATACATGTAAATTAACTGAAAATCTATCCATTTAAATCATGTCCATGTTAAGTAAACAATTTAGTGGTAGAAACAACCTTTAATGGTACATAAACATTACCAGATATTCATACTTTAACTAAACAGATAAAACTAATTCCTTTAAAGGGTACATATTCATCACATACTCTTACAGAGCAGGTAACAGGTTAATCAAACTCCTATAATAATTAGTAGAACTTACAGGTTCTCACTGCAATTCTAAGAGCTGCATGAAATGGAGTGTCTCCTGTCTCTAATGTTATATCTGTTTCCTTGGATCCATGTTGCAGAAGATTGATTGCAAGATGCACAAAACGAGGGTCTGCTTGAGATGCACAGTACTGTAAACATAATTCAACACAGTGTGAAAATTTAAGTTTTTACAGTTGCAAAAGAAAGTAATTGAAAAGTTTGAATAATATGAAATGAAAAACAAGGCATCAAAGCTGTTTAATGTACAGACAAAAAAGCATATAATAATAATTCACATTTTAACTTTAACAAAAAAACTATATTTCAAGAAAAGTTAACCAATAAGACAGGTTTTTCAAATGAAGCTGTATTTTAGTCCTGTTATCTTTCTGTAAATTTGAGAAGAGTAAGTGACATGGTTTTCTCCTAATGGTCACTATGGGAGCACTGCCCAAAAAAGGATTTTCTTCATTTTTTATGCAATATTACATAATGCTTAACAATAACAGCATAATGACCATCAATTTTTAAAAAATAAAATAAAAGTATCAGGGATATTCAGAAAATGTGACTAGCAAAAGTCTTCAAGCCCATGGAAGTTCAGAGTCACACTGAAAATGCGAAAAATGTAAACAAGAGATAACTGTGATGAAATAAGTTTATTTCCATTTTCAACACCCTCTTTACATAAAACAAAATAATAATCAATGTACTTTCATTTTTAAATGATCTACTAAGGAAATTGTTGACATAGGAAATATATCAATAGAACAATTTTAAATGTGCAATTTGCTCCATTCAGAGATTCTGAACATAGTGAATAACTGAATCTGACAAACTGCAATGATATGAGTTTATTTCCATTTTTGACACTTTATTACACAATACACAATAACAGGTTTACCATCATTTTTATATAATCAACTATCAATATTGTTAGATGCAGAAAATGTCAAAAGAACACTTTTACATATCTAATTAGTTCAAAAATGAAATTTACATGCCCAAGAATTAAATCCGAGGAAAAAAACACTTTTATACAAAAAAAAGCATAACTTCACCAAAACTTAACCTATCAAGCTTATTTTAGAACTTGATCTGTATTTCAGTAAGATTGATCACTCCTGTGAGTTTCAAGACAATTGGCCCATCACTTTTCCTTGAAATGTGTTATCAGTGTGGCAAAAAGGCAGAAAAGTGAAAAAAACAGCATAACTTTTATAAAAATGGCGCAATCATGCGTGCGTATTATGAATATTCATCAGTTCTGTAAGTTTCAAGCCAAAAGGTAAAATGGTTTTCCACTTATCGTGTTATCAGTGTTGCATATATGCTGAAAAGTGAAAAAACAGCATAACTTTTCTAAAAATATCCTGATAATGCCGATTTTAGAACTTGTCTTGCATATTATGAATATTCATCATTTCTGTAAGTTTCAATCCAAAAGGTAAAATGTTTTTTCACTTATAGTGTTATCAGTGTTGTATATATGCTGAAAAAGTGAAAAAAAAAAACAGCATAACTTCCATAAAAATGGCCTGATCATGCTGATTTTCTAACTTGACCTGGGTTTTATGAATATTCAACAGTTCTGTAAGTTTCACGCCAAAAGGTAAAATGTTTTTCCACTTATTGTGTTATCGGTGAAAGTGCACGGCAGCGGCAGCAATGGCAATGATACATGTAGATGCAGGTGACAGCTATATGTACAGACACATCTGTGTCTGTTCATAAAAAGCAAATGGGTATAAATAAAATCAATAATTGTATCATTATCAAACCATACAAACCTTGATTAAGTTGGTAAGACAGATCTTTTGAGTGCTTATTTTGGGGAACTTTCCTTGGTAATTAAACATGACAGATTCCTTTCTGAAGACTCCAGTTCCCATTAGCAGGATTAAGAGTGTTTCCCATTTTTTCTCTTTTGCCATACGTAACAGCACCTGCGACCACACATTATCACGAGCTCTAACATGTGTTGCAAGGTATATCCAGCCTGAATTAAATCATGAACAAAATCTTTAAATTTTCAATGCATTACCAGTAGATTATTTTCATAATATTTCTAAAGTCATTTGAAATTTGAATGATAAATTTCTAGTAAAACAATGTATTATATTGTATTTATAATATAAGACCCTGTTCCCACACCAACATCGATCTACCAGGATCAACCCATCTCGGAGGGGATTCTTGCTAAATTGCTTTCAGCTTAGTGGCTTATATGTCTGGCACACCTACTGAAGCTGCAAAACGATGGTTATTCACCCCCTAACAGTTGGCATCCCAGACATCAGAGTTACTGAAGCTGAATCCAGTTTAGCGAAAAAAAAAAACCCTTGAAGACAGATCGATCCTGCTAGATTGATCTAAGTATGGGAACAGGATCTAAGTCTTCTTTTTCTTTTGCATGAGGAGATCATAGTATCTGGCTTACATGTAAAATACCATAATTGCAAAAAAATAATGTTTAAAAAATCAAAATTTGCTTTGAGCAAAACTATTTGGTAAAACCAGTGGTTTAATTATGACTTTATCATCACATTTAATAATTTTTGTAAGGCATGCACATTAATTTCACAATACAAATTTGATGCAAACATGATATATTAAATTAGTTTGCACATTTAGTACAACATTGAGCAGTGATTTGGTAAGGTATTAATTTTCTACTTACTTCCAATTTCATGAGACAAGGATACTATTTCCACAATGAAGTCAACTTTAGTATGAAAGTTTTTGCCATCATCTTCATTCACCAGTGCACAGCCATCACTGAAGGCCTGAAGAGCTTCCTGGGACCTTTTCAAAAGTTTCAAAGCTTGTCCTGCTCGCCAGTATCCCTTCATAAATATTTGTAGTGTAAATATATTAAATACATACAAATGACATTGAAATATAGCAATCATTTACCACTGTTCAATCCTATATTATATTTGTTGGGGATCTTTAAAACACATTTTCAATCTGATTTAAATCAACTTAAGGGTCACAACAAAGAAGCTCATCAGTCAACATAAATAATTTTCCTTATCCACAAATGAAAATGTTATGCTTCATGTTTCCAAAAAAGTACTTACATATGGGGAAATTTACCTTACACCACTTCCGATTTAAGTCAATACAGCGGAAAGCATCCTGAAGAGCTTGTTGGATGTGTCCCAGCTTTGAAAGGGAGAAGGACCTGTTGCTATACAATGCTGAAATTTCTCTCAAACCTGCACCCCAACTCTCTGCCAGAAAAATGGCATTGTTATAGTGTTCCGTGGCTTGTTTATAGTCACCAGCGTTCAAGGCTTGGTTGCCAATTTCTTTCACATCTTTCCAGCTAAAGGAAAAGCCTGAAATTATGCATATATATCATACAAAAATAAAGAACTAAGCAATGCACTTTTCACACAAAGCCATCAAAGTGTTGTATCATTGAAATCGAGCCTTCTTTTTGTCATTTGTTAAATGTTAAAATCTACTTTATTTGAACTAGATACAACTGGCATAGTTCTTCTTACTGCTCACAAGTGAGAAGATCCCAATAAAAATTGTAATCTTATATTTAAATCTTAAACAGTGGAAAGGACAGATAAAAGGGCAGCAATATTAAACAAATGTGCAAAAGTTGCAAAAATTTACATATTTCTCTGTTAATAAACAATGATCAAAGTTTACTCAATTCACCATTATAAGTATGTCAAGTATTTAAGTATTGATAAAGATATGATATCAGGTACTTACTGTTAACTAGTTTAACTGTATGATTACATGTATATTAAGTAGTTTGTAAAGTCAAGGAGAGATGCACACCAGGGAGAACAATGTTTCACGGTATATATTTAACTCTAGCTGTAATAATACCAATTACTTGTTACAATTGTCTTATAGACTTTAAATTAAGGTCCATTGATAAATAAAAAAAAAAGAAAATGTATTTTCTTATTTTTACTCAAGAAAATTATGTCAATACGCCTATTTCAAATGCATATTACTTTTCTTGATACAGCCTGTGACAAAAACTTTTGTATTCAGATGAATATACTATAGTTTCCTAGAATCTACTGGTCCAAATCAGAATTCACTGGTCTAAATAAATATTTCAGAAAGACTGGACATTTTCCTTGCATTAATACTCAACATAACAAGCCCCTGATTTTTCATCTTTTTATATAGAATCATCATATCTAACAGTTACAGTTACATTTCAGAAAATAAAATTAACTAAAACTGAAAGCTCCTTTGAAACCTTATATAAAGAGAAAACCTAATGGCCATGTCAGACCGATAAATTCACGCATTCTGAAAAATTAACTGGTCCTAACAAAATTTTACTGGCTGCAGGCATACTCGATCAGTACATGTACATGTAGGACCAAAAGCTTAAGTGTGGCAGACTGTGGATAAAATCTTGGAGACGGGGGTGTCTTGATAGTCCGAAGGTTCATTGGTCCGAAAAGTGGTAACATTTTCATCGATTTTTTAATCAAGGGTTCATTGGTCCGAAGGTTCTATAGTGAATATTCGGACCAATGAACCTTCGGACTATTGCTACGGCCCCTTAGAGACAACAATCTTCAAATGCCAGTGAATTTATATACCTGTACAATATCAAGATGGGGACTTTGAGCCTCTTTTCTAATGAGGCCTTAAAAATGCCAAAGATGAATTAGTCATCAAAAGAAGAAAAAAAATCTAAATTAGATAAGTTAAACTCAGATTTCAGACGGTATATCCATACTCAGATATGTCACATATTTTTTTTCTTATTTACAATGTACCAAATGTAAATCAAGTGTCAGTAGCATAATTTAAAAAAATTCAAAAAGAAAAGAAAATTAACGCGTGGATCCTGTATGTACAGGTATGCTATTCTTTACAAATTAATTTCAAGTTTTAAGGTAAACAATAATGTATTTTTTTACAAAGATGCAATAGTTGTTATGGTTGTTTTTAACTTGAAATAATTTTATCACGAAACATGGAAAACGAAAGTTCGCCTTACTAAAACTTCATATAACGTAAGGCCACGTACTACATTAAAATAAAACTGAGAAAATTTTATATTACCCGCCATTTAAACAACCATCAATCGGTTATGGTAAATGTCAGTGTTGAATACTCATGGAACGAATAATGACAGCAGTAAAAAGAACATTATGCTTTCGCTTCTGTTTAGTTCTCCGAATCATGGGAAGGAAGTGCGTTACAAATTGGTTTCAATAAGCCTATTATTATGGGGAATCCCCTCGTAGTTGACTGGAGAGACCGCCGGCTGGAGCTTGATACCGTGCCATGCCAGGCCACAGCCTGAAATCGTACCATGTCAGGCCACGTACCATGTCCATATTTTATCTTAGGTCAAAGACGTATGTCGTTTCACTACAAATAGCTGAAGTATTGCATAAACCATTCTTGCAGTGACAATCCGTACACAATAGATATATATAACTAATGCCAGCTTCTCTTTCAAAACTAATTAATATATGTGTTCTCCCGTTTTGCACCCATATCATATCATATGTGTATTGTTTTGAAACTTTCCTACCTGGGATTTTTCTCGACAAATCTAATTTTCTCCTGAAATAAAAGCAATTTTCTTCCTCTCAAAAATCTCTGTAAAAACCAATTCTGCATGTGGAATCAATGTTTTATACAATTTCTAGTTAATTACTTGTACATATAATATTACATCATGCCTATATACATTCCTATATTCATTAATGGTAGCAGCACCAAATTCTGCATAATGATATAGGGCCTATCATAGTAGCCAACAATATATACACTGTAGCCTACACATAATGGTAGCCAACTACATTTTTGCTCATTTACAAAATTGTATATCTGTAAGTAGTTTTCTCCATTCTGTTAAGTCAGTGTATTTGAAGTAGATACCAAATGTGAATTTATGTACAGTCTGCCATTGAAAGGATTGTTTATTATATTTATTGTTCTCTCAACTGATACGACTTTTTTTTTTACTTGACGTGACACATAACCACCATTATGTTGGACAGGTGGACATATCCTGGCTGTGGGATCCAGTTACTATATAAAAGTCACGTGCCCATCGCTCGTATCATTAGTAAATATATTCTATTTTTTTTCTCTTTTTATCCTCTCTCATGAATGAACATTGAGGAAAACATCTGATCGGAATGAAGGCATGCAAAAAACTTATTATTATTTTCAGTTTTGTTTCATTTATCATTTATTGGTGATGTTGAAGCGACGTTTTCTGGTCGCTTCCGGTGCTGATTTTGCCTGTGCAGCGGTTTGCACATTGTGAATATTGGTGGGTATAAGAATAATGAAATAAACAACCGATATAAAAGTTCACGTTAAAGATAATTGCAACTTCGTCCATTCAAGATAGGAACTGAATTATTTTACATTAATTTTCTATTGTTTTCTGGCTCTATATTTATTCGTAATGTTGTCTTGTGTAACCAACACTAATTAACCGTCGTCGCGTCTACGCCGAACAGGCCCTGCGACATTAACCTTCAGATTCTAGTCGTCCAGATTGCAGTGTACATGTAGCATTTGATTTGCGTTTTTTAAATATATCTAATGTGTGCTCATGCACGAAAGATATTGGCGCTTATGCATTATCCCCCCTCCCCCCCCCCCCCCCCCCCCCCCCCCCAAACACCACCACCGCCACTATGCAACCCCGGTGCAAAATTGAATATTTATTTTTTGTTGTTTTTACAAGGTTCAAACCCATCCAGATAACATGTAATGATAGCATTTAATGGTGAGCATATATTTGAATAGCAAAGGCACTGATCAAAGTCACCACATAATTAAATATGGGAAAAAGTACTGGAAATCCAAAACTTGCATATATAGTGAAGATTTTTTCATTTCGGTGTTGCAGTTGATCTCAGATAGAACATTCCAGATTAATACATGTAATTTTATAATTGTTTGTTATCTTTTGTTACCCAAAGTAAGTAGCTAGTTACCAGAGATAATTATAGGGTATAAGAGCTGACACATCTGTGGTTGAAGTCTGCTTAGACAGGGGATAGCATCCCATGCTGCAATGAATCACCAAACTTTCAGCAAACGCTACCCTGGCTCTGTTGTGTTTTGCCTTCATGGCAGCTTTTACTTTTCCCAATCATACAATCATGCTGTCTACAGTCCCTTTCCTAGCCATCAAGTCACTTACATGACCTGACAGCAAAATGCTATTGGTTTTAATCAGGGGTGGATCCAGAGCTATTTTCTGACAAGTCTTCCAAATTATCTTTGTTGATCCGTTCTCCATTTTTGACCGTCTTCCGAAAGAAAAAAATAGTGTAAACTTCAGTGTAAACTTGAATATCTAACCGTCTGAAGACCCAGAAGATGGGCTCAATCTGCCCCCGTTAATTAAGTGGAAATTGTTGTTTTTCTTACCACAGTACAGAGTATTAAAAAATAATCAGTAACAGCTGTCCTCTGTCACTGGTGGAACATCTCCCAAATCAGCACTCCACTGAAAGTCTGTCAATTTTTCATCAGTAATGCAATCACGTGAAGTGTGCAATTCTTGGTCACGTATGGTATTAATTCTTGCAATCAACTTTTTTCCCACTTACATTTTTTGCCATATTTTTCAAAATTGTTTTTAGTTCTTGCACCTTTTATTTCATTAGATCATGTTCTTTCTCTTCACTTCCCATCTCTAAACGTAATGACTATCTTGGCTGCTGCCCTGTCAAGTAGCGCCCCAAATGGGAAAAGTTGTCACTAAAAAGCGACACCTGGCATACCAAAAAGGTCTATTGATGCATTTTAAAGTTACAAGCCATAAAGTCAAAACTGTGCTCAAAAGAAAATTGGTTGCATTAACCTATAGTACTTTTGTACAACTCTTATTTGCCACTGAAATTATTCTGATACAAGTAGAAGTTATAGCAGTAGTAGTAGAAATGGAATTGCAATTTTTCAACTTTAGAATTTTAAATGCAAAATATATTGATTTGTATTTGCTTTAAAAATCAACCATTCTAGTTTGGGTAGGCAACAAGTGAAATATTCACAAATTTCATTTTTTTCTATCCTGTCTCATGTAAAATATTGATTCAGTTACACATTATGTCCCTTTTTAGCTCCTCTTCATTTTTAATGACCTTAATTGGTTTAATGCATTGTATTTCAGGCAGTTGAAATCTGTTTTCAACCTAACTAGGGTACATACATACATACACCACAAAACAGGATTAAGAAAAAGCCTCTAATGGGGGCGGGTGCAGTGAGGGGAGCACAAGGCCAACCTCAGAGTCAAGGTCAAAATAAGGTTGACAGCAGTAGCCAGCTTGCAATAATGTCATGTGAAAAATGTGGTGCTGTGTTTGGTCTTCTGAAGAGAAAGGTAAGCCAGATATATTGAAATTTGTTGATAGAGATTTTCAGATCTTACACTGAAATTTGTGACATCATTTGGATGAATCTACTAAATTTATTTAATTGAAGCATGTTGATACACATGTATGCCCACCTTGAGTTTGAGAGGCCATTCACTGGAAATGGTAGAGGGCTGATTGGAGAAATATTTGCCTGGCCTAGCTGGTTTTAACAATGTACAGTAGTTCACTAAACAGAATAAAATCATTGATCCAAAAACCACTTCTTTCTTGTTATAAAACAGGCATGGTATCTCATTTGGTTTAATACCACTGCGTTAGCATTAGATAGTGAAAAAGAACTACAGTTTTGGTCTTAACATTTAGACTGGACTCAAGTTCTTTTATGCCCCTATTTCACACAGACGACAAATCCCACGAATCACCAGGATTTTCAGGATTCGTGGTTGAACCGTAATCAGTTCGTGAAGTTCTTAACAGATTCGTATATAATCGCAGTCAGTTCTTGCAATCTTGATCAATCGGGAATTCATGGCAAAAATTTTGAGCAGTTCAAAATTTTGGCCACGAAGTCCCGATTCCAAAAAATCGTAGTGATTTTTTTGACAATATTCGTGCGATTCCAGCTGAATCCCACAAATATTCGTAACACTATCGCACCTGTATCATAACTGAATCGTAGAGCGTATCGAATTAGGCCAGAAAATTTGCAAAATCTCACGAATCCTTACGAATCCTGAAATTTGTCAATTCCTGGCAATTCGTGGGATTCGTGGTCTGTGTGAAATAGGGGCATTAGGAAGTGGCTCCTGCAAGGGCATATTGGTTATATACGCTATTGATGTGTTTTATCTTCAGATTATTCACATTTGAACAATCTACACAAAAAAAAAGCTGTATGTCAGCTGTTTAGAAATTTCAGTTTTACTATTTCAGAGAATTTGCCTAGACTGCGGTAACTACCACTGCTCAGCATGTCTCACTAGAGTAACTTTTAACAAGCGTAGATGTCAACTTTGTCAGATGTTTGCCTCCAAGCAGTTTGACAGACAGACACTGATGGATCTCAGACTGAAAGACTTAAAAGTGTACCTTAACAAACATGTGATACAATACCAAAGATGCACGGAGAAGAATGATTTAGTGGAGCTTATACTGAGGCACTCTGGCAACCAGTCATACCTGGAGGAACAAGAGGAACATCGAAGACATTTAGAAGTGTTAAAAGTAAGTGTTTAGGTTTGTAAAAGCAGATGTCTTTGCATGAAATTGAATGAGATTTGTCTCCTAATACACTGCCTATTTCTGCATGCAATCCCAGGTTTGAATTGTTGCATTATTTACACTGGCAGATTGAGATTGTCATGGGGGAGGGGTAGCTGTGTTTTTTTTTTTTTTTTTTTTTTTTTTTTAATAATTTATTTATAGATTTGTTAATTTTGTTGTGGCCAGGAACATAGACTACAAAATGAAGTACAAGATGACAGGGAGTCTGTGCCATCATCTGATGAGAGCAGCAGTGAACACATTGAGCACAGTGACACACATTCCACAGTACCACCACCAGAACCAACCCCAGCTCAACCAACACATTCTGAGCAATCTCCTCCAACACAATTGAACCACCAGGAGTCGGATGAGGAGAGAAATGAGAGACTGAGGAGGAGGCAGGAGCAAGAAAGAAGAAATCTTGAAGAGAGAATTGGGAATGATTGGTTCATGGACAGTGATGTAAGAAAAATGCACATAATGAGGTCACTGAGTTTCTCTCATACACTGCCTCCAACAATATTAATTTGTTATTATCTGAAATTGACTTATACCATGAAATCTGCATTTTATTACTACTACTGTTATGTATATAACGATAAATTATTTTATTATGAATTTTTTAAAGCATGACAACATAAAAAAAATACATTTGTGGTAGATCAGTGCTGTTTGTTTTAGTTACAATATTACTTGTAGATCAATTTACATTTTGATTCATTCATTCAGGAGGAACCAGACCCTAGAGCTCCACGTGTAAGGATGAGACTTAGTGCCATAGATGACATTGAGCAGATTGACACCTTGTCTCCACGGCAACTCAAGGAACTACTGGCAGCCAACTTTGTGGATTATAAAGGTTGTGTGGAGAAGTGGGAGTTGGTGGACAAGGCCAAGAGGCTTTGGCAGTCACATAAAGAAAATCAGAAAAAAGGTAAGTATTTTCATTGTTTTATTATATAGAGAAAATCAACGAAAAGGTAAGGATTTTCTTGTACCTAAGTTGATGCACATTGTATTTTTATATGACAACACTTGTGGAGATCATAGGTCAGTAATTCTTTCTCTGCAGAAGACTAGTGAAAAGGAGAGAGTTCACAAATCTAGTCCTGTGTTACTGTTTTATCAGTTTTCACATTTACTCCATTAGTGCACAAGGTTTTATCCCATTAAGCACTGAAATTTTTCAAACTTGGATTGATTTTAATATTTATGTTTTTATTTTGATTTCTTCAATATTTTGTTTCATTTTTCAATAGCTGAAGAAATACACAACCTGGCTGAGAAACAAGGTACAAATTTACGCATTTAGAAGTACATGAGATCCTTTTGAAATCAGTATAGACTTGCATTAATTTGAAATTTTCTATATACAAGTAAGAAATAAAAGACATTTTGACAAGATTTATGTTGAAAGTTAGAAAAAGCACAATATTAATATTTTATGGCTTATAGCCATTATAATATGTCATGTTTAGATGTGTAGGTAAATATTCTTTATTCCCCAGATTTAAAAAAAATGGTTTTTGCCCAGTTTGGAACTTGGAAATGCATTGGTATTGAACATCTTTTCTTCCAGGCAACAAACCCAGCGCTACTAGGATGGAAAGCAATCCTGAAGACTCACTGTGCAAGATTTGCATGGACCATACAGTGGACTGTGTGTTACTGGAGTGTGGACATTCAGTGACTTGTACTAACTGTGGCAAACGGATGTCAGAGTGCCCCATATGTAGACAGTATGTTGTGAGAGCTGTGAGGATATTTAAGTCATAATCCCAGTTGATGATAGATAGGTAATTTTGGTTCACTGGGCTTGGCTCTCAGTTGCATAATTTATATTGCCAGTGGTTAAACAGTACAGTGATGAAGAAATTAATGATATCTGATTGTATCAAACTAGTATATCTAGTACAATAGTAATTCAACCCCATTAACAGAGAATTTTAATAATTTTGGTTATATTAGACAAGAAAGCTTTATAATAATGGAAAAATCATTTATGCAGCTTTTAATGTTCGCTATGTTGACCGTCTATGCCACTTCTACTACGGCTGTTTGTTTACATGAAACGTGAATTATTAAATATTGCAACAAATATCAACATATTTAATCACAGTATCTTAATTTAAATCCGTAATTATAAACATCCAAGTTTTTGTTCACAACAAATAATGTTGTTATAGTCACTTACAAAAGTAACATTTCAGTTGTTCAATAGGATATTTTGCTTTTTCTTATTATTAAATGATTGGTGCAATTTCCTTTAAGCAAAAAAACCAGTGATGATCATTTACAAACTTAAGTTAATGTTTTATTGTATTTGTTTTCATTAAAAAACCTGTCAAGAGCAGTAGGTATAAATTTCTCACTTTTGATAACAGAAATTAAACTTTCAGTCTGTTTAATTAATTTTTCTAATTTTTTTATTTATTTATTTATTTATTTATTACTATTTTTTAAATGAACGTCAGATGTGAATTGATTATCATTGATTACATGCTGCAGAATTGCTTGAAACCTAATGTATTTTAACACTTTTTGGCAACTGATCTCCTTTATCTTTTCTGTTGTTATTTTTGCTATAAAATCTACCCTCCATTCATCAAAAACATCGTCTCAAAATTTAAAAGTATATAAGGAATAATTTAATTTTAGGTATGTATTAATACTAGAAACAAAAGCAAAGTGCCAATAAGGCAGAGAACATATTGTTACAAAAGCAGTAGCATTAATGCGGAAATACATCAACCATTAAAAGATTTGTCAGTAGAGGACTGAAACTTACAAAAAATCTGGGAAGGTGAGCAGTTTAATTGTCTCAGCATTTAGAAAATGTGATACTTTGTTGGTCAGATTATATATTTTTATGAGTTTAGTTGCGTTTTCAAGTACATTCCATGTGAGTCATTTTGAAAGAAGGATTTGCAATTGATGAAGTAAAACTCAAAAGGCTAGATATTGTATTCAGATTATTTAATTAAAAGTTGTACATTTGTTTATATAAATAAAAGTGAGATAAAACATTTTCCCCGGATATTGCTTTTTATGCTGTAACTTGTTCTAGTTTACTAGTATATGTTGTATTATTAATAATTAATGCATTCCTATATGAAAGTAAAATCCTCTATTATGCAAATGCCCATAATGTTAAATGCATTCATACTAATAATTTTCACATGCAGAAATGCTGATATTAAACCTGTCGTAAAGATATCTAAAACTGTTTTAACTTGACAATATTAATTCCAACAAATATGAAAAACTGGCAAACATGACATTTTCTTATCTTTTTTTTTTTTTTCATGATTTTCAATACAAACATATATACTATTTATCTTGAAAACGACAACTTTTCCAATATACAAGGATGACAATATTACTTTTCCTTGTAATGAGACATGCGTTCATAATTTGTGAATAAAACCCTTTAAATATTACATTGTAACATGCATACACTCTAGCTGGTATTTTGCACGTACAGAAATGCTGATATAAAACCTGTCATAAAAATTCAACCAGACAGCAAGGTTGCAAACATATAGCAACTTAATGAAAAAGACTCCCTATTTTAACGTTACCAGGCACATTCCTGTAAACACTAACTTTTGTAAAATAAAAAATAATAATGATAATAATTCGATCCTGCCAATTTTCGAATTGAACCTGCCTCTGTGCTAAGCAAAGCCAACCAGCAAGTAAAAAAAAAGTAGTCAAGCGATATCACATGGTACATCCCATCCCTTGTAAATTATAACTTAATTGACTGATTACAGCAAATATTTTGGATAATTCAAAAAGATGCTAGAAGTATTAGTCGCGTTCAACTGTACGGGAAAAAATGTGAATTTTACAGATACTGTATTTTTGTAAGTCATAAATTCTTAAAATCGGAACATTCCTATCGAGTGTTAGCAACAAAACTGAAAAGCAGGCTACCTTATAATTATATTATTTACAGTAAAAACACAACAAAGCAACACAGAAATATATTTTAATGATTCTAAAACTATGTATCTAAAAAACTGATAACTTTCCCATTTAAAAAATGCAGTCATTTTTATATATATATATGTCATGTGGGTTTGAATTTTACCTGAAGCCTAGCCAAGCAGGTCTTTAAGTTGGTTTAATCGTCTTCTCTTTCTTCTTCTTACTATTTGCAAACGGGCTATTTCTTCCAATTGAAAAACTTATTTTCACCAGACACTGGTATGCAACATGCATAATATAAAGTGGCTCTACAATGTTCACATATTTATACACGACCGGCATATGTATACTATTAGAAAAACATTTATGAATCTTTAGTGTCTCTTCTTGTTTCTTATCCTTCTTTTCAGCAATAGCGTATGAATGATAACGTCCACAAATTCAAGCAAAGTTATTAAGCTGGCCCCAACAAATAGTCCTAAGGATCCACCGATGTCACCTGAAAACAAAAGAAAGAAACGTTGTATTAAGTTACTAAAATGTATTACAATGGTTAAACAATTGACGCATAGGTAGCTACCATAAACGTATGTTTCTTAGAATATTGACGTTTTAAGGGATTTCTACCGTTGACGTCTGTTATAGCAAATTATTTTCTTATATTTATGCAAGCCATAATGTTTAGCAATGAAAATTCAGCTCAAGCGGTCGATTTAACAACTATCACCAAACACGCTTTCAGCGACGTTCAGCCGAGCAATAGGCCATTGACTGTTAATTTTGCCCTTCATGAAATGAAACCTAATATCTAAATTGTAGTTTCATAATACGCCGTCAACTAAAAAAAATCAAGGAAATTAAAAAGATGTTTGCGTGTCAACTGAACTCATCAGTGTTTTAAATATCCGGCAAGGTTAAAGAGAGCGCTCTCGTCACTGCAAACGCTATTAAATAACTTACTCCACAAGCTGTTAGTGTCATAAGCTATTTGCTGCTTGATCTCCTCGTAGCTTAACTCTTTCAGAAAAACATCAAGCTGAAGAAAATTTTCCCTGGAACGAAAAGGGATGATTACATAAGCTTTCAAGTACATTATAATGATTTCTTCAAATGAAAGCACGAAAAAACTGGATTTAACTAGAAGTCACTAACGGGCTCTGCGGACTTCGTTTGGTGGACATCAAACCCGAGTGACAGCTTAGGTTCTCTTTCTTTGGATAGTAGGTCTTATCTATAGTGAGCCCAAGGCCGAGTTCGAATTATATTGAATGGTTTCTTAACGTGTGGTAACGTTATTAATGGTTTTTAAGCGTTAAATCCGTTTACCAAATCCGTTTACCTAACTTACTCACATAAAGAAGGTTGCGTCAATTGTGTTCTTCCTGTGAAACGAGCCCAGTTGCTCTTGCAGTTTGATAAAAGCAGATAGGAAAAGTTCATCTTTATTGCCAAGTGACATGTCAAGGTCAGCTTGTTGTATTAGTCTCCCAAGTTTTATGTCAATTTCTGCTGATTTGTTCTGCATGTCTATTTCTGCAAAATCTGCATTCGTTAGAACTTGAAGCTCCGGCATGGAGATATTGTCTAACGAACCCCGTGGGTAGTGTAGCATTCTCCGGACAATGTCGAGCAGATAGGCACTATCTGAAGTGTTTGAAAAAATATCACGAACATCTTGGTGTATCTTCTGATAAAAATTATCCAGAATAACTTCATCCATCATGTTCTGCCACATTGCAGTGTGCGCAAATTGATATTGATGGAGGCTGTCAAGCAATTCTCTGCCTCTAGACCGCGCGGCCCCGAAGAATCGTTGCATATTCAGTAATTCTTCTTCGACAGCTGGCGAGGTAAACGACACGGCCACTTCTGTCTTAGTAATGTTGTCGTGTTTGGTGTAATGTTGCGCTTTGTCGATGGATTGTCGCAAAGTTTTGACGGCTGTCTTTCGCAGAGAACTCATATCTTGTAAGAGCTGGTCTATTGGCCATAGGACGTTAGCCATTGTTGTATGCAAAGTTTCGTTATATGCATTAAATGTTTGCACTATGTTTTCCAACATTTCCTTTGGTTTAGCAACAATTCGATCATAAATCATGTACTTCTGATAAAGAAATTTCTTACTCATTGAAATAAAAGTATCGATACTAGTTTGATACAAAGTCTCATTGTGGGTTCCATTTTCAAATATTTGCTTTGCTACGAGACGCAAATTGTGCAGTGATTGTATATATAATCCTAAGTATCTCATTATGTATTCAAAATGTTCACGAGTGTTCTTCAGATCATGATGTAACAAATACAACGAAACATATGTCATATCATAATGCCGCTCAGGGGTCCGCAAAAAGGTCAGAAGAGGGGTCCCATTAATGTAAGCCTCGTAAACTTTTGTTAAATTGGCACGTGCCCTGTTTGCCAAGCTAAGTTTTGTTAACAAGTTCATGTCAACTATGTGAAAAACAGCGGGGCGAAAGCAGGTGTCGTTATGGTCAGAGGAACGCGCACAGTCCATCATGTGCTTGAAAAGATCAGGAGTTTGGAAAAAACCTGTTGTCACATGAGAGAACGTCCTTTCATCCATCACATTCCACCCTCTGATAAAATCATTATGATATGTGAAAACGCTAGACTCTAGTCCCCAGTTACTGTGAAAAGCAATTCTTGGTTTCAGTTCTTCCGTCATAGTACTTATGGAAGATTTGACTGTTTTGAGAATAATTGTTATGTTATCGAAAAAGCGAAGTATATCTTCATATTTCTCCAACAAATCTTTAAATTTAGCCTCGTCGTCCGTGCGTATGGCTTGATCAACCTTTTGTCGAATTTCTCTTGCTTTGACGTATTTCTTTTGAAGCAGCTGTAAGCCTTCACTTCTCAGCCAGGTTTCGGTATTGAAATTAGAAATAGTGGCGTATGTGGTCGTCGTGTCGAACAGCGTTCTATTACAGGGTACTGGACACGGACACGCCTCAGCACTGCGTTCGTACGTTTCTGAAAGCAATTAACTTCTTTTAAATTTCTGTAACATTTGCTAATGGCAAATTATGTCATTTAGATTGAATAGATATATTCAATGCAACATTAGGAAAAAAGGAGGCTCCAATGAAGACGGTTTGCGAAACTCAAGATGAAAAGGCAGTCAGCTAGTTTTGCTGCTCGTCTTAACCACAGTTTTCCTCGTACACTTACCTAAACTGGGTCTCAAGCAAGTGGCGTAAGTTGACAGATTACATACAGAAGGGTGCCCTAGGGTGAAGTTATGAATGATGTTGAACGTTAATACAAAATATTAAACAAATCATGTGATTTTTCCAAATTTTCCGATTTTTTCATTTTTTTACAACAACAACTGTTCAGAAGAATTGTAACTTTAAGTCATTCCTTTTTCAAAAAAAGTATATTAAGTGCACGCGATGATTAAATGCTGAAGTGTTCTGGATGCACAGTTAAAATACTCCATAAAAGACATAATACAAATTGGACAAATATTGTTACATTGTGGTTAAGACAACTGGTACCTGTATATATCTCCGGCATGTAAAAGTCGCGGCAACCACATTGTTCTACCACGTGTCTTGCCTCACAGTCCAGATCACAGGCTGGAACTGAATAATAGTCATAATACCTCAGCTCACGACTGCCACATTTACCATGCGGAGGGATCAGGTTCTCCACCTGCAATTACACGGATGTAATTTCTTTTAACCGTCCAGACAAAACGTTTTCGGAACGCTTTGTGGATAGTTGTAAACAGGGACAGGTTCCACAACCAACTAACCAACAAATAAATGAATGAAAGAATGAATGAATCAGACTTAAATTGGTCATAACTTCAGAACCAAAAAGTTGGGTCTCATTAAATTCGGCGATAATCCTTATATTTCCATATTAGTTGACTACTGTTCTATCATGTATAAAATAGACTAAAAATATAAGACTATAATCTAAAACCAATTTTCGTTCCGAGGTTCGAAACTGACCAAGCATTGGTTGTGCGGGAGAGAGGTCCAAGGGGTCCGACAGGTATTTAGAATAGGATGCAGGTTATATGGTTTCACATGCTGGAATTACCATTTTAAAAGTACCTTGTTATAGGGTTATAGGCAGAAGGTTTGAAGAAGTTGCATAATTTCAAAAACACACCATTATCTAAATTTTTACTTCCTATAAACGGCAGGTGCTAATACAATTTTATCCGAGAGATTTTTATGATCAGGTACCTAAAGGGCAACAAGGGGCCGTTTCTCTTGCAGGCATACAGTAGGCTACTACACGAGCTGAATAGTTTTAAAGGAAGTCATTATCTTAGAATCAACAAGTCAATGGGTAAGTGCTAATTACTGAAAAATAGTTATGATCAAGTTCCTAACTGGCAATAAGGGAGCGTTTCAAAATACCTTAATAACAGACATTCCCACGAAGGCGTGTGATTCGGGTGGTATGGCTTGCCCCAAATCCCGCACCAAGGGGACCTCGTGCTGCTCGTGTAAGAGAACCTTGAGGCCAGCAGAACCAAATGGACCGCTCATGTACTCATACTGTTCTATGTTGATTGTCAGCCTAAGGCCGTGTTCAGCGCCTGAAATCATATGAAGCCCTCTTTACGTACTTCTGGATGTCTCCAGATCTGCTATTCTACATCCATCTCGCCTTTTTGAGTAACGCTGTACATACTGTAGATGTATAAATACCTCATATTGCGCCAAGATATCACCCTTTGTCGCTGATGCATTTGACAGAAATTTATTAAAATAAAAGCAAGTTTTTCCTTTTCTTGTTATTTATTCATTTGCCGGGTATTTATTTTCGCAAATTTAGCTATTTTGGCCAAATCCTTATTTGCACAAAAAGATGGTAAAAGCTGCCAATTATTATCTGTCGTTTTAATGGGAATTAAGAATGAAAATGTTTCAACAATCCTGAATAACATGTGTACGTAAAGGAAATGGATTCACTACCCATAAAGGGTGGCTTTAATTCTAATATCAATTACATAACACATCACAATGTGAATGGTTACAAAGACGACCGTGATCTAGACTTACCGGTCTGAGCTGTTGTTTTAACGGGTTTATTTCCTCCATTGAAAGTGAAACAAATTCCATGATCTGTTTGAATTTTCTCGAAATCGGAATTGGAACAGATACCGTTATTCCAGCGGCAACTATAAGATAACACATAGTATACACTTTTTATTTTCCAAACTTCTCTGTAACGTTACAGCAGGGTGTATCCCTTTACAATTGAAGATAAATGAAAACTGCTGAGAAAAATTTGTGTTTTGTTTAAAACACAATTTTTTCTCAGCAGTTTTCATTTATCCCTTTACAATTGAAGATAAATGAAAACTGCTGAGAAAAATTTGTGTTTTGTTTAAAACGAATGTTTTCTTCTGTATTAAAACCAGAATACTCGTAGCAATGAGAAAGTAAAGGGGTTTGAGGAAAATATGGTAACGTATCATGTGCGTGCCTTAATATCATATCTTCTTTGGTATGTGCATTTAGTTGGAATAAGTCCTCTATCGTGCCATTTCCGGTTCTGTCTGTGTGATTCCCAGAGAGCCCACTCGAGTAAAGTTCGTTTATTATTTCGTAGTGGCCATTTTCTGCTGCCTTAGACATCCTGAAATACGGTTATAATAAGTACCGTCTACCAGGGCCGCAATTATTATTGTGGACATATTTGTTGAGGCGGAGAGATTGCAGACATTAGTCATCTATTTAACCAGAGGCATATTCGTTAATATCTAGTAAAAAATCAATCCGCGGCCCTGGTAGAGGGTAAATAATTAGTATGAAGGTGGACTGTCGTCACCAAACAACAGTTAGCGGTACTTTCAATGTTTTAACAAGAAATATAGTCTAGAACATGTACTACTCTCCACCAGAATCACAATTTTTTTAATTGATAGATATTTCAATCAATACATCATATTCTGTGCGCATACATGTAGATGTATTGTACTGTACTGTCTTTCCAGCGATAATCGTATTTTTTAAGAAAAAGACGTCATCATCCAACTGGCATGTGGTGGAGATCTCGAGTTGTCTAGCACCCTCCCGTTAAACTCACCAAGTAGCCATTGATTTTGGAGGTAAAAAGTAATAATGTAAGCATTGTTTTGGGACCCAACCAAGTTGAACCAACCATTTAAACAATGTTGTCTTTGTGTATATTTTGAATAGTCTTCAAACTTATAACATGTGGCATACGTATTTTAAAACACTGAATGGTGCTTAAAAAACTCGCATAAAGTCAAGATCTTCTTCATTGGTTGTTTCATTAAAATATTAAATTTCGGATTTAAAGTTTGTACATCAGCTAATTGGAATTAAGTTACAGTCCACATACATTTTAAGACATAACTTACTTGAATGCGTTCAGGTTGCATATTGTAACGGCAGGAAAGTTAATTTTGTCAGCATAGTTGATTTTGACGTTGACCGTGACCGGCCAAGAGCGATAGTATACGACGCACCCTATCAGTTGCATTAGAAACAGACCAGCCCCAAGCAATACCAGAAAAATCCATATAACTCTGAAAAAAAAATGTTGGTTAATGCAGGATGAAATGTATTTTTGATGGGAATTTTGTTCAAATAAAAGGCGTTTAAATTTTGGTTTAATTCGATGGCGGGTGGAACCCCTTTAACAATGTTTTATGACTTGGAGCAGAAGCAACCTATATTATAATAGCAGATCAGCTGAAGTCTCCTTTTCACGTTTTCTCCCAAACTACAATGATCTGTTGACAACTGGCCTTGTTTTTGATTGAGAGACAGATTACCAAAAACGGATTTTTGAACATTTATTCCTTGATGCCCAAGGTAAATTTTGCCTTTATTATTAATTCAAAATGCCTTCAGCATTATGTGTTTTATGAATTAATCGACCCGCACAAAATTAATCTCGTCTCTCGTTCGTGTTTTTTCAATTTTTGTATTTTCCCCACAATGAAGGTTTTTTTTAAACGTGACATAGTATAGTAATCAATCGCAGTAATTGGACACAAGTTCACATAAACGCCTGTTTTTGCCTTTATATTTTGAGTGCCCTTAAGTGTCTGCTGTCACGCTTCATCAATAATAAATCGAAGACAATCTGCGAAAATCTCATACGGATGAGTATATCATAAAGTATTTCAAACCAAACTTACAATTCCTGATGATTTGATAATACAAATCAGCCAAAATAATTTCCAGATAAAGACCATTTCCCAGTTAATTACTGAGGGTAAAAATGGATTATGACATATCCGACTCGTATATTACAGACATGGGTGAAATACATCGAGTTTCAAAGTATTAAGGAACCCTGTGTTTTCGAATACCGATTTGTATCTACCCAGCATATCTCTGCCATTGAAGATGGCAAAGGGGTACTGGTTATGGAAGTGTTTCCAACAGACCGTATCTCAGGGTGCGGGGTTTTTTTTAAGGGGGGGGGGGGTGTCAACGGGGGATGCTTCTTCAAACATAAACCATGCACCCCGGTGCTTCCATTAGCTGTCAACTAGAGCTGAATCGATATTTTATCTATGCCATCACAATACCACCACTCAACATTCTTGGCGGCATAGGGGGCGATTTTTCTGCCTTATCCAGTTCAAACAAAAGCAAATTTCGTCATTGACAACCAAAATGCATGGTCTGAATATCTCAGGGTCTGAGTTGTTTGGGAGGGTGATTCATTGGCGAATGCTTCCTCTGTTCTGACAAGAACAATTAATGCACTCAGGTACTTTCATTAACTACCAACTAGAACTTGATCGATACTTATTTTTAAAAAGTCAATTTTCTTTATTAGTTTTCTTGGCTGCTTTTGTAACGCTTATCGAGTTGTGCATACAATAGATTGCGCTGTAATATAATGTTTTATCATATAAATTGTGCCTGACGTAGCATGGGACGTTGAAATTATACCATCAGAAATGTGGAAACAAATGGTGCATTTCGCTTCAAAGCTTTGCAACCTGTAAGTATGCGTAAAAATAGAGTAGATATGAAAATTATAAATTCGACAACTTTTACTTTAGATTGAATAGATAGAATAGAATAGATAGAATAGATAGATAATTAAAAAATCTAACCAGATACATTTTTAAGTAGCCACTGATATAATTGACCTTTCTTACTATCCAGACATTTGACGAATTTGATGTAAAATTTGTTCATTCTATAAGAATTTAATGAATTTGTCACTATGACTTTTGGCATCATATCAGCTTAAAAGCTGCTTTTCCCGACATCTTGCACACATATACAGCCGTGTAAAATTGTGCTAAGCATTAAATAAAATATTCTGAACAACGAGAATCTCCTTACAATGACCGGTTTTTGTAGCGGTAAAACAAAGCAGGGCAGAAGGTTAGGGACATTCCATTCTTTTCAAACTGAATAAGTATATAATTTTCGGTGCAATCATATGATTTTCAAACCTTCTCAGCATAAAAGGCGTGTCTTCAACTATCTTCCCAACTCCATGGAAAGTGGTCACGGTGCTGAATGTAGCAAATGCACTCTTCCATGTAGGTTCTCTTTCACTTTCCTCCTCGTTCCCTTTGATGTCCGTGTCTATAACATTGACACCGTAGTTGTAAGTCTCGTTTAATTTTTTCTTGACTTCAGCCAGATTGTCAAGTTCCATTTTCCGATCCCTCTGAAAAAATCAAATATGATTAATATGTGTCATAATTATTTGACCGTGCTCACAGGTATATTGGTGGTTACGGCTCCTTTTCAAATTTCTGATTTTTCAGGTAACTTTCTACTTACGGTTATTCTGAACTATTGCTTTCGACACTCTTCAACTTGCAAGGGATCGATTTTGATAGGCGACTTTAGGAGTTTTGGGGCTCTTTCCCAATAAAACTATCATTCTACCTAGATCGTTCCAACTCCGCGGGGTCTGATTAACAGATCTAGTTACCAACGTATATTGTACTCGTATAATCACCAGCTTTTCTGTATTAATTTATACTCAACGCCAGGAGGAGGCGTGTTAATCTGATTTCATTCAGTGGAGTTGGATCTATCTACGTAGAACTTAAGTTTCATTGGGAATGAGCCCTTAGTTTTAGGAAGATAGTTCGCCATCGGACCTGAAGTTTATGGATTTGATTTGTGATCTGCACCTAAAAATCTGCGTTTTATGGCGAATCTGAAAGTTGGCTTACTCCGGTTCGGTCATCAAAGCAAACTATGATTGTCTTGACAATTTATCATTTAGTTATCACAACTACATGTAATTAAATGTGTGCCAATCATTCGTTAAACGGTTTTACGTCAATATCGTAATGTCGACTTTTTAAGTCATTGGCTACTCATTTTCATCAGCCTAAGCCACATCAAAGGATATAACGTAGATGCAATCTTGTGATTTTGAAATGAAAAATTATCAATCAAAATAACAGTTTTACTTACTTGATGACAACTGGTTAGTTATGGCAAAAAACGATGCACAACACTGCGCCTATGGCAATGAGAAATATGGTCACTATCCTACACTATCCTAGCTTTAATGGTGCGTATGTTAAGCTTAAATAATATATTAAGTACTACAATCATGTAGTAGATCCAATCATCTTTTGTTTTTTAACATGTCAAGAATAGTAAGATAAAATCTAATGCTATTCACAATTGATATTCATATTTGTTTTTGCTGTGATACTAATCGTATCAGATTTAGACAATATTTAATTTCCATTTGTTCAGTGCATTTCAATAGTGGCTGAACATTGTTCGGCCGGATGGGCTATGTTGCGGTTTTAGTCTCTGTGACATGTGTCCTGGTTTCAACCCCATCAGTCCAGGAAATATTTATCGACATTTCTGACTCGGATACCAAATGGAAAGAGATTTCAACGATTTTTTAATGGTCCCAGAGACTTTATCAGATATACATGTACAAAAATTGTACATTAAGCCATTTGCATCAGTGCCAGAGAGAGGTAATCTTACGTTCAAAAACATTACGATTACCCGGTATGTTTGAACAATCCAGGCACCGGTCTTTTCTGAACCTTTGCTAGATTTGTTTTGCTAATGTGACCAGCTCTGGTCGATCTTTATATCTGAAATGAAGGAGGGGGGCATGGCAGTCTACATTATTGATATTCGTTTAAAACTAATCCAGTTAGAAATGGTACTAATCATCGATACCAAGTGCAAGGACTTGTCTAGCAATGATTCGCATACAGGAAAAAATTCCGGCCCATTCCTCTTGAAGAAAGTTAAATTCTTTGTCACTCTTGTAATTGTGGTTGATCGGTGGAAACCAAATGAAAATGCAACTCTGTTGTCAGACTGACCAAAATATACACACGATGCATTGCAATACGTGTTATAATGCCCCACTATACGGCTTATAGACTATTACACAGGTATCTACTGGAACCCTTTTTTTTTTTTTTTTTTGGGGGGGGGGGTCATTATTCACATTCCAGTAGAACAGGACCATGTTTGGCCAATTGATCAGCCAACCTGGAGGAAAAAGACTGTTCCCGAAATGACAACTAGAAAATCTCTGGCGCCATGCCTCAGAAATAAAAAAAAAATCCTGCATGCAGCGACAATGCGGCTGGCAGGTATTGATAGTTTTAGAAACATGCGCACCAAGTAACCGCCTGCAGAAACCATGATTGACAGACATGTGGCCGCCAGCTTAATAGTTACGGACGATGTTGAGTGATTACATTTACAGCCAACCTTATTAATTCTAATGAGTTCATAATCCCGCTAATCTTATAAATATTTTGTGCATTAAACCAACAAAGTATCATCACCCGTGATGCCATATTTTAGAAAATTAAGGATTTTTGAATCTCAGCTTAATACATGTAGATGCAAACGTAATGTTATTAAATTAAATTACATGCTGGTCATAAAGTGAGAAGCTCAAAATAGCACAGTATTTCACTGCAATATTTACCTGTGTGGTAGCTAGATTCTGGAATCACCAATACCCCGGTTTCTATATGCAGCGTGTCTCAGTACGTGATTACCAAACCATCCACTCGATTCTGTAATTCATTTTACTCTTGCGGGAAATTTGATTTGCTTGTATAAGACATTAAGACAACGAGTTAACTGAGTAAATGCTGCTTCGAAGCGAGTTTGGGACTTATAATATTGGGTAACCACAACAGCCAATCATTGCATCATTGCGTTTTGACAATGGTTAATAACCAAGGTTGTGCCAATAACACCAGCAACCAATTTCCCGATTGTTTTCATTCATAATTGATAATAATACGGAGACAGTTAAGACATTTAATATGTAAGCCACTTTATAAATCTTTATTGATTTCATAGGCCTACACAAAATCTACCTGGAAACGAAATGGAACTGTTTGCAGCCATTGCACGAACGTGATAAAAAAACAATCCAGGGAATAACAAAAAGGCTTCATCTCCCATAAAACAATCATCAACTAGAGGTTTAGAAAGGTGATACCACCTCCGGGTATTTTAACACCAGCTGGAGTAAGCACATTTGTATGGAAAACAAAAAAGGCGGCATCGTCTCCAGTGTTGAGCTTGCCAAGTTCTACAAAAGGCAGTAAACAAGAGTTCTTAATTTTTTCTTGAAAATTACAGTTTATAACCAAATCACGGGGAAACGTAAAAGATCAAATTCAAGGTTGCAGTAAGATTGGTAAATGATTCAATGGTAAATATAAGACCTTGGATATTTGCGAACAAAGGTAAATTTCAAGGTCATAACTAGATTGCCAGTATATGACTTCCTAGTATTAGAGTTAAAAGTAACTATGGGTATTTCCCTGCTAATATTGGAGTATTTCACATTTTATTTTCATTACTGAATATTGCACCATTGTATTTTTTTATATAGCTCAACTCGTAAACTGTATGGAAAAATAACAGCATTCACAAGTACAGTACATTCCAGTGATTAAGTAGAATGGATGCTGCATTCAGATTGCCCTCAAAATAATAATTTCTGGATGTAAATAATCATATATTTAAATTTGGGAAAGTTATGTTTTATTTTCACATATAATTTGATGTTTAATTTTTTATGGCCTTATTTCCCTAAGGCTAATATGATTGGGCATCAATATTTTATTCTTTGCTAGTAAGTAATAAAATCATCTTGCTATATAGTAACATACTGTAAATATATTGGAACATACTGATATGCACACCTTTACGAAAATTTCTTATAGGACCCTATAAGAAATTGTGCACATACTGATATTTCACATGTACATAAATATTGATATGTAAGCATTCATAAATGTATCAAAAACTTAGAATAATACTTAATTTAATAATATTAATTCCAATAAATGTGAAAAACACTGGCAAACATGACATTTCCTTAACATTTCTCTTCAGGATTGCCAAGGCAATTCAAACATAAACATTTTTTTTCTTAAAAAAAAATAAAAGGATTATGTTGATAAATACATTTCATCAGAACACTTACCAGTCTTGTGTTGTTTTATATACAGAAAACATTTTGCATCATTCAAATTTGATTAGTCTTCAAAGACATATGAAACTTTCCTTACATCTCAAATATTTATAAGATTAAATATTAACTGAATTCAGTTCAATCGACTCCATCTTGTCAATTATATAACCTCGATTTCATGTAGATCATTGTTGATTATACTTAACTTGTACTGCTGCATGTACATGTACATATATATGGTATCTATAAAAATTCTAAAATATCTTCAGAAATGCTGGCTGTAAGTAATTGTGCTTTACGCTTTAATGATAATACACTGTATTCTTGCCACTGCTTAAAATGTTAAGTAAAATTCATGCTGTCTATTGCTTGCAACTTGGGGTCTATCAAAGTACTGTTATTATTATCTATGCAATTTGGAAATGTGCTGACTTTCAAAACTAACCTTCCTTTTAACTAAAGAGAGATTCTGAACAAATTTGAAGTAAAACAAAAATGCAGTCTGGCAATTATGGAGTGAACATGCACGGCCGAAATAATGCAAAAAAGATGCATTAAATCAACAACCATCTTAAAAATAATCATATCACATTGATTTTAACAAAAAGGAAACTGCCTCCCTTTGCATGCAAAGTCACAGAACAAATTTGAAGTACATCAAAAATTTGGTTTGGTACAAATCTCCCCAAAATAATTTCAAAAAAAAAAAAAAAATGTAAAAATGATCTGACCATGCTGATTTTCAAAGACAAAGAACCTGTTTAGGATCTATGATTTAAGTGTCCCCTTAGACTAAATAACTTCTAATTAGCAATGTTTTTTTAAAGACCTTTTTAATCACATCAATCCTTAGTTCCTGTGTTTGATGAATAACTTGATTCCATGTACAGCTCTCATGACCATATCAGGCTTGTAAAGATACTGGTGAGTGGGATCCAAAGTCAGCTCAAAACTGAAATCACAAGATAAATAAAAAAGATGATAATAATAACTAGAGGATCAGAAAGGGGATACCACCTCCGGGTATTGAAGCACCAGCTGGATAAGCACATTCATATGAAAAAAAAGGGACACTACCTCCAGTGTTGTGCTTGAAAAGTTCTACAAAATGTAATAAACAAAAGTTCTCAATTTTTTTGTATTCAAGTTCAATAGTAACTACGGGTGTATCTCTACCAGCTTTGCATATATAAGGGCCAGAAAATTTATTTTAAGAGGGTAAAACATGCAAAGTGGGATTATCAAACAGTTCCACAGTATTCCATGGGACTTGTCCCATGTCTTCTGAGAATTTGTTTTCATCAACGTCTTTATAGGAACTGTATTCAAGTTCAATAGTACAGGTAGTTATGGGCATAATTTTGGAGTATTTCATATTTTATTTTCACAACTGAATATTGTAACACTGTATTTTTGATACAGCGCAACTCTTAAACTGTATCGAAAACAAAAAAATTCATTGCAGTTACATTCTGGGAGCAGTCCTGTTAATGATGTAACTTCCATTTAAGCCATTTTAATAGATAAGCTTTTATTTTAGTCTTGCAGGCTTTATGACAGTTTACAATTTCCATAATTTTCCCCGGACTTTCCTTTGTGGGGTATTCCTTGCCCAGTGTGCTTGGGCTCCTTGCCAATAGGTTATGGCCTCTTCGCAACACCACAAAAAAAAAATTGTGCAAAAACGTTTGTACATAAAAATCTTTTCTGATTCACTGCATCATAATTTTTAAGATGAGGAGTCGCATGAATATATGATAATTATATCTTTTTAATTCTTTGGGCCATAACATTTAATACAGGCAGCAATTTGTTACATTGCTAAAAAGATTAGGATAGTGGGATTATAAAATAAAAGCGGCCTTGTTTGACCAAATCTTGAACAAGCAATATTCTTTGTTCCCTTCTTTCTTGTTGTAAATGATACTATGAAAGTTTGTGGTACGCTGGGATGGAAAAGACAAAAATAATGAAATGACTGCAAGTCTATTGAAAACAATAATTTTGGTTACCTTTGAACAGTCTTGCCCAGCATCACTTTCAGCTCATTCATAGCAAAATTCTGTCCAATACAATTCCTGGAATATTCAACATCGAAAATCAAGTTTTTTTTCCCCCTAAAATACTTTATTCCAACTTTTCTTCTCTTGCCAAAAAATGATGACAATTTATCAAGTTATCTATTAAGGAAAGTAGTGTTTTATTGCCATTTCTCTAACTCACCTTGGACCTGCAGAAAAGGGAACAAAGGAAAAGGGGTCTGTTTTCTTGGCATCTGTGTTTAAGAAGCGTTCTGGTCTGAATTCCTAAAATAATAAATTTTTTACGAAACATTACACTTCCATTGACACTGATTGTTACACTGCTTTTTCCAAGAGGAAATGGAAAACAGGGTTGAGACAGGAAGGGGGGTGGTAAAAATATTTCAGTAACAAGGCTATCTCCAGCCATCATTTGGAAAGCCGTTAGCCTCAAAAGATGGCCCATACTTCCAAAGACATCTGGACAGCTTACAAAAATGTTGGGTTGGTTGGATGGACTCCCTTGGGTATGTACAGTATTTATATCCTTATCAAGTAAAAATTAGCAAAAAGAAAGCTTGGCATATGAATACTACATTATGAATTCATCCAAGGCAGTCTGCTGCAAACACCAGATAGTGACAACCAGCAAGCCGCATATCACATGAGACTAAAATTATGAGTTAAAACCTGTAGGCTTAACTGTTAAGTGATAAGGATGAAACTCTTGGCGCTGGGAAAGTCTTTTTAGAAAACAATATAAAAATGCACTCAAAACAAAGTGAATTACACATGTTACTGATGTCCAACAATAGACTGTAATTCCACATAACATCAGCTTTACTCA